GCGGGGAGGTGGTTCTACTGGTGGGCGGCCTCCAGGGCTGGGGGGGGGGGGGGAAGGGGGAGGGAGGGGAGCGAACGGCGTGGCCACGCGCGCGGCCGCGGTGGGCGTGGAAGGAGGAAAGACGCGACTCTTCGGTTAGGGTCTTAATGGTGGCAGGTTACAATTGGGCACAAATGAAAGAAACCAGCCCATCGCAGATTGTATTATTCATTATATATATATATATATATATATATATATATATATATATATATATGTATGTATGTATGTATGTGTGTGTGTGTGTGTGTGTGTGTGTGTGTGTGTGTGTGTGTGTGTGTGTGTGTTGTGTGTGTGTGTGTGTGTGTGTGTGTGTGTGTGTGTGTGTGTGTGGTGTGTGTGGTGTGTGTTGTGTGTGTGTGTGTGTGTGTGTGTGTGTGTGTGTGTGTGTGTGTGTGTGTGTGTGTGTGTGTGTGTACAATCAATGCAGTAGGCACGCCGACCTTAGAGGCTTGTCGCCTGTCTTGTTCAAGTTCTTGGTCACTGTGATACCTGACTACAGAGTCGTAAACAACATAGGTGTTGTTATTACAGCCTTCCCAGTTTTCAGCCGCATACAGACCAGGTCAGGTCAAAATCCTCAGGCATCGTCGTAGGTCTGACACATGCCAAACACACCAGACCGAAAATTACGTTTGCAAGCATTACTTAGGCTTTGGTCACTCCCATCGTCCTGCACTGTATGTCTTCATAGGGCACGTAACGTCACACAACTTAGCAAAGCACGAAAACTGCTAAATTTGGGTGCCCGAGTGATCAGTGGCAGGCGAGAGCACGATCACGTCAGTGATGTCTTCAAACAACCTAACAAGCTAAACGCACAAAACCTTGTCAAGCATCATCGGATGTTTGTGATTTACTTAACCGTGCCAACAGTCGGACCTGAGCAGTTCGCTTGCACCGTTGGTAACACAGCACAGTACCAGTACTTGACACAGCGGGCCATCAGCCACGTGTCACCAGAAATGCGTGCGGAGACAGGCCGCTTACTTCTCTGCTACGGCGGATTGCAAGAGTATGATTGGTTCTCGTTTAATGTAAATTGCGGAATTTCCGATACGATCCGAAATGGCACGTACTGTGTGCGCAGCATGGTGATGCGCGTGTGGATACACCGCTGAACGTGTAGTTAGCGCTGAACTGCTCGGAGCGATCTGACCTGTCACGTTTGGTTTTACTACGCACGGCAGCGAAAAACAATGCAGCTGATTTCGCAGGTGGTTGATGGGAGTCGCGTGTGATTCTGCCGTTGGTCGTTCGCTGTTCTGCGCGCGAATGTTCTCAGTTTGGCGCGAACGTCGTGTTTGGCCACATGAGGCGCGAGAATGAGTCGCTCAGTTTTCAAATTAGCCGTCCAATTGCCGCATGACTAGCAACTCTGACAACATCTTGAGAAGGTCTCTCAGAAGTTCACTACTTCGCTGCCCACCTCCCCTGCTGATGAAATGAAGCAAGGCGTATTCGCGTCTCTCTGGGTAAAATGAAGCAATTGGACAAACATAATGCATGTAGCGCGCATATGTAAGGTACGTTAAGCGTGCTACGTTTTACGTAAGTCGCTAAGAGACAATTTCAGCACATGACTTTGGGTTTATCTCCTGGAGCTGGCCCACGCAACTGCTCCATGGAAGAGTTGCGCAACTGTCCGCACAACTGTTCCATGGAAGATGGCAAGTAATGATGGTTTTTACAATGAAGGATTCCAGCATATTTCATACCGTGCTCTTATTAGGGTGTGTAAAAACATTTAAAACATTGTGAAATTGTCTTTATGATTTAATTTTGATGATCGCATTTTCGTTGGTTCATTAGTATCGAATTATCACAGCCACCTCAAATTCTTTTTCGTCCGCGTCGTCCTAGTGACGCGTTGTTAGACGCTGCATTTTAGAATGCAAATATTATTCCGGGGTTCTAAGACAAACCTTCGAAACTAACGCCGCTGCCGACCATTGCAGCTCCATCCACACGGGGTGTGACTTAGCTCAGAATCTCCTCTCCGGCTGCTCACAGGCCTCATCCCAATGTTTGTTGTGATGCACTCTCTTCAGCTGCAGTCCACAAACGGCCCGAGGCGCAAGCACCATTGAGACGCGCATTACCCGGCCGAACCCGACCATAACTGAATTCTAAGCGCACACTTAGAATTCACCGCCGACGCCCGCACAAAAGCGCAGACCGTTTGCACCGAGAGGCGTTATCTGTTTATCGACATTTACATAATCTGCCGGCGCGCTTGCATACAGGCCGCGGCAATGCGGCTGCTGCAGTTTGGTGCTGTTAGCGGCCGGCGGCGGCGCCTTTCGCGCCCGACACACAGCGTCGGGGGGCGCAGGAGGCGGGCCGCCGGCAGCAGCAGGGGTGGGACGCGCGCGGTCTGTCTGCGACAGGCCAACCTGGCCGTGACGGACCTATTAATCAGCTGACAGGCGGCCCTCGCCGTCGGGCCCGGCGCTCGACAAATGACCTGCTCCCGGGGCGCCCGCGCCGGCGTCGGCGCCGCGTCAGCCGTCTGAGTCGGCGTTTGGCTCCGGGGCGATCGCGGCGCGGCAGCGAGACCATCTCGCCGCGGCGGGGAGACAATCCGGGCGCAGCACCGAGACGATCATTGCACGGCGCCGGGACGATCCCGGCGCGGCGACGAGACGTCATGGCGCGACGGCAACAACACATCATGGCGCGGAGACGAGACATCATGGCGCGGCGACGAGATACCATGACGCGGCGACGAGACACATGACGTGGCGACGAGACATTATGGCCGGCGACGAGACACCATAACGTGGCGACGAGACTTCACGGCGCGGCGACGAGACATCATGGCGCGGCAACGAGACACCATAACGTGGCGACGAGACTTCACGGCGCGGCGACGAGACATCATGGCGCGGCGACGAGACACCATAACGTGGCGACGAGACATCATGGCGCGGCGACGAGACATCATGGCGCGGCGACGAGACACCATAACGTGGCGACGAGACTTCACGGCGCGGTGACGAGACATCACGGCGCGGCGACGAGACATCATGGCGCGGAGACGAGACATTGTGGTGCGGCGACGGGATACCATGACGCGACGACGAGACACATGACGTGGCGACGAGACGTCATGGCGTGGCGACGAGACATCACGGCGCGGCAACGAGACATGCCGTCGCGGCGTCGAGACGCTCGCGGCCCTGACTTTCTGATCGCGACGCATCATCACGTCACGCTTCATTATGCTCCGGTATCGGGGCCACGTTGGCTGCCGTCGGCCGCTCATATTGCGTTCGAGAGAGGCGCGCCCAGTTAGTGGGTGTCGACGGAGCCGGCGGCGGCCCGTAATCACCGCTCCTAGATCACTCCGCGCCACGTCACTGCACGGAGCGCCAGCCCGTCGCCTGCCGAACAAATAGTCGGCCCACTTGCGTATCGCGCACCGACGTTTGGGCACTCCTCCGCTGAGGGGGGGGGGGCGGCCCCGTCGGCGCCCGGGGGGAGGGGGGGGGGGGCAGTGCGGCCTCTGCACCGGCGCGGTCTGAGCCTGACTGGGCCCAGATTGCGCTTCGGTGCCCATGACGGATAGCCGAGCCACCGGGCGAATTTATTGCGCGGTGGGGAGCGGTGATGGGGCGCCCCAGCCGGCTCCAGTCCGCCCCAGCTGCTGTCCAGACGGACCGGAAGCTCGCCGGCGCGGCGGCGGCGGCGCGCTCTAAGGACGGCGTCTGCTCCTGCGTGCGCCAGCCTCGGGGCTTTTGATGGGGAGGCTACGGGCAGAGCGCGCTGATTACGGTGACTGGGTGCGTCTGACATGCAGGGAGATTGGTCTTCACCAGCTGAGTGTGATCCGTGGAGGTTTGGAGTAAGGGCTCGTTGCGTGAACAATTCTAGAAGGTGTTCAGTCGGCTTACATGTGTCCTAGCTTGATGTCCAGATTTAAAGGTCTCTTGTCTTTTGGTTTATGACATAAGTGTCTCATGTGTTGAAGGTCTTTTAGTTTTTTTGAGCTATCGCTAACCGGGTAAAGTCACCTTAAATTCGTGGCAAAAATCCTCTTCTGTCATCCTGCCGTGCAGTATTAAATGAGTTGATGAAACGTATCGACAGTCGTCAAAAGTTTAGCGGACATTTAATGTGGATTGATTATTCACATTTCATTTAGTGTGCATAGCTTGTTTAGCTCTTCAGACAACTAAAATGTAACTAGACGGTATTTAGATATAGTATGGCTTGAAAAATCGCTGGTATTCATGGTTGACACAATCTTCAATAACAATTGTTTCATACATCAAGACGCATATCGTGTACCAGCCGTTACCGATTTTTGAGGATTGGTCTCAATAAACATCACCTTAACTCCCACATAGGGCACTGTAATTTTTGCTCCGACATTGGGAAAATCGTGGACAGTTTGCTGGCGTCATGCACGTTCGTTCCACTCTGGCGAGGAGGTTTCTGAAGCCCACCAACCTTGCTCAAAACGTTTGCCCCACGAGCATTACTCCACGTAGATATGAGGTGACGCGCTCTGCGCACACTGGATACCTTAAAAGGATATGCTAACGAATTAATAGAAGACCCAGGATTACTGCGACATCATCATATCAACTATCTTCCCCATGTTTGCTCAGTCGAGACGCGCTCCCGAGACGCGGCGACACTGTTTGCGCATACTTAGCGGGATTGAAATGCATACGCCCCATGAGAGCCGTCCAAACTTACTCGAGCACGTCTTACTGATCGATTCCAGGAGCAGGTGCTAGCGACAGGCCCTTCACAATGTTAATTCATGCTCACAGGCTTTGACAGCGTTTTAAATGCGTGCAACCTTCTCTGCCTTCCGAGCAACGGCTTCGACGCTGCCCGCCTCTCGGATTTCGGTGCGAAGCCCGGCGACGCGACGGTAGCGCCGCCAAGTGGCGGCCGGCGGCGACAACCCAGCGCCTCCGAAGCCGTCGCAGTACGGCCGCCGGCAGGCTCGCGGGTGGAGCGCGACAGGGGGCGATACGCGCGGCGGTGTCGGAGGACACGAGCTTCTCGCCAGAGGGTGAGGTCGGCCCGGCGGGGTCGGCGCCGTGACCGGTGACAAGTGACAGGCGAGTGCGAGCCGCGGGACGACGCCAAGGATCGGCCGGACCGAGTGAGGCTCCAAGGGCAGGCGGCGCAACGATCGGCTTTACGAACGACATAGGCGCGACCTTCAGGTTTTCAGGTGAGAATTACATGATTCGTGGCCTTGAATTGGCTGCAGCTTTGCGTTCCATCGACGTAAGAGGGGCTGACGCGCCTGCAATGTTCTCGCCGGTGATACGACAGCCCGTGTTGATTTACGGGCAGGCAACACACCGGAAGCCTGAGTCGGTCTCTTTACATTGTGCCGTTTGCTTTTTTAATATTTCAGACTCGGACACGGCTTATGCCGGGTGAGATACAAGGGTCTGCATTGCAAATACGGCGGTAGAATACTTGGTCCCTCGCAGTGGAACTGAGGCGCCAGACAATGGCTCGCTGGCTGCGTCGGTGGCCGTAATGGGCATTCCTGTGTAAAACTGGCTGCACCCGTTCGCCCCACTCGGCCATTACCCGGGCTCGTGGGAACCGACCTGAACACGAGGCGCATCTGCGGTGGAGCGCGCCGACCGCACAGCCTCGCTGAAGCCATCATACGCGGCGGCCGCCCGCCGGTGCATCGTCCGGTTCTCCCGTCCCCGCCCCGCCCCCACCTGCCGCCGCCACCGGCCGCCGGCGCCAGCTCCGGCTCTTGCCGATCGGGCCCGATGGGTTCAGTGACTGCGGCCGATCGGCCGGCCTCACCGCTGTGTCGGCGCCGGGCCGGTCATTAATTAGCGGCGGCGTCCTACCGGCGGGCGTCTGCAGGTGCGGCGCGCAGCGGCGCGCCGCGCCGCGCCCGGCGCCCGCCGCCCGCCGCCCCGCGCTGACAGCCGACCATCGGCTCGGAGAAGGCGGGGATGTCGGGTGGCGGGGACCGACGACGGGTGGCGGCATGGCAGCGTGGGATCTGCCTTGAGTTCAGATGTGGGGCCCAACTCGACGCTCAAGTCAGTCCTCTTTCTCTTAGGACTGATGCTGAACTTCCGTGACAAATTTTTCGGGGTGGGGCCAGCACGCCTCCCGACCCATCGTTTCCACGCGTGTGACGGCAGGTATCCCGGGAGGAGACCTTACTGCGAACGGACGGTGCCGCACTGTCGACAGTGAGAAAGAGAGACAGAGCAGAGAGCCGCTGGAGAGCACGGGGAGAGATAGGCGATTCGCACCCGACGCGGCGTCAGTTGGGGCTCGCTGGCAGGCCTCGATCCCCGGCACGCACGACGGTGTTGGTCGGTGTACGCCGTCGACGGCGGCGTGATTTGACAGACCACCTTGGTCCTCGCGCCTCGCTGCTGCGTCGCCACCCCGAGACCGAGCCGTTTTTGGAAGACCCGACACGAGACATCAGCGTTTTATGGCCAGATAAGATCGCCCAGGCTGTTTTGCACGCTCCCCGTCGGCGCACGGATCATTAATCATTTCGGAAATATATTTTCTTTATCGGAGTGGCTGTCGGTTTGACATGGCGCGGTAATTCGTGCCGGCGTTGACAGCATGTGGTGTTGCAAAACACACCGTTTAGCCCCAGCGTGCATATTATCATCGGAACTGCATGCCTTGGCCCGTACCCGTGCACAAGCCACGCCTGATGACATGAAGATGTCTCCGCGTGTACCGCTCTTCCGCCTGCACGCTGCGCGGCTGATGTCGGCCTGTTGAGCAGCGAGGGCAGATGCTGCGAGTCACGCAGCGCAAGGCGGCGGGTCCAGCGGAGACATGGAATGGGCGCTGCAGAGCGCGGCCGCGTCACAACCTGTGGCGCCTGTGCAGAGAGCGTTCAGAGGCGTGCTTTGCGCCGTGCAGCCGCCGCTTTGCATATAAATTCGTGGATGATGGCACCATCCAAATTATAGAGCCGCCCGCCGCGAAGTGGGCGTTCGATTGATGCTGTGTGGACTCGGCTGTAATCGGACTGTTCTCACCGGCTCCGTGGCCCTCGGTCTCCAGGCGGAATGGGCGACCCAGCGCGGTCCCAGTCCCCAGAGACCCGACGGCATGACTAACGCAGCACAGTCTGGGGCTCCGGATGCGCCGACCGAACGGCTTCCGCCTGGTCCGCGATGTTCTGCCGAATGGACGCGCGGGCGGCATCCACGCGGTCCTCGGCGCCCTGACCGGACGGCCGAGTGACCGTCCCGGAGGCTGTCCTCGCGATTCGGTGCCTCGCGTCGTGCCAGCTAATGGCGCGTGATACGCGGGCACCTCGCCGGCCTGTCCGGAACCGAGAGGGACCTGATGACGTCACCGCGCTAACGGCGGCGCCGCCGCCCGTCGACACCGCGAGACGGATCGCACGAGGAAGGCGCGATAAGTTATGACCTCGGTGAGTGAGCCAACCGGCGCGGTGCGATGCCGCGGCGGCTGGGCCGGATAATGGGCTTCCGTGGTCACGGGTTGGTCGGTCTGCCAAATCAAGATACGATGAGTGGAAGTGTGAGCTAATTAATGATGTAGGCAATGTGTCTGGCGCTGCCATGGAAGGTAGAACCCCCAGTAACAACATATTCCAATTTTGTCGGTTTTAAACATCTTCTTTCTTCCGGTCCGCTCGTCACTCTAACATCACCCATTAGTACTACTTTCCTTTTGCAAACAACAGAAAAAAACTATGCGTCATTTTTCGCCACTAATCCCGGTTTCGACCTTCGCCCTATGCCTGCCCTGCGGAACTATCACTGTATATCTGACGTGCTAAGAGATCTAGGGTGGTCCACCACCCGTCAGATGTATGATCCTCACTTTCCTGGTTTGCAAAGCTTCACCATAAGCCACATACCGATGAACCGTAAGCTTTCGCGTCGCAACTTTGGCCGACTGCCAGCTTTGGTCACAAAATACCCGGATGGATGCTGATCAGGCCTCCTGACGTCACACATTCTGGAACAGGAGCTCTCAAGTGCCGGCTTCGTGCGAAATCGTGTTGATATATGTATATATATATATATATATATATATATATATATATATATATATATATATATATATATATATCAAAAGTGAGGTAATCATACTTTAGGTTGATATGTGCGCGTGTGCGTGCGTGCGTGCGTACGTGTGTGTGCACCTGTGTAGGCCTGTACGACTGAATGTAACAACTTTTTTAAAGGTCGCTACCGGCTGGTGCTTTTAGTGTCTTGCCTGTTTTGATCTGGTGTGACACTTGGAATAGATCGTGGTGTGCAGGAAGGTTGAATGATTTTTTAAGTGCATTTGCGAGGAACGTTATACATATAGATAAGACAACATTATACATATAGGATAAATAGTTTTATTCCTAATAAAATTAAAAAGAGATTAGAGAGATAGATATAGTATTTCGTCTTCATGCCTTTATCGAAACGAGTATCAGAAGTAAATTCAAAGTTACCTGCCGATCCTACTCGATTTTTTAGTTTTCTTTTAAACAACGAGCTACAGCATTTACAGGTCACCAACATTCAGGGGTTAGAAAAGGAGCAAATGCCAGCCATTTTTATGATACATTGCACATTTAAGAATTAAAATTAGCGAAAAATACTTACACGTGCAAACGAATTCACACTAACAGGCATCTACATAACTAACTAACTAACAGGCATAACAGGCATCACACCTAGCATATCACCCATGAACGCAAACGATTTCAAGTTAGCGATCTTTAGTAAACAGGCATCACGTATCACGTATCACTTTAACACACAAACGATTTCAATTCAGCAGGCATCGCGAATGACGCGACACGCGTCACTTATACACGTCAGCCATTTTAAGCTAGCACACATCACACATCAATGCACTAACACATTCGCATAATCGGTGACAACGAACCCTGTACATTGATGTTTGGTCACCGACATTTTATGACAGAAGGTTCACTTATCTTCCTGCCTTGATGGTCCTGTGCTCTGTAGATGAATTTGAGCTCTAAAAGGGGTACAGGGTTCCTACCTCCCTGGATCTCAGCCTGAGCGTGTTTTGTCAGAAAATGCTCGCCGAAAGGGGTATTCTCTGTTTTGTTTTTAGCATCTCGCAGACAGTAGCGCAGGCAGGGGGCACAGGAGAGACGTGCCCCCCCCCCCTTAGGTTTAGAGGGGTCCGGAGGGCCCCTCAGGACCTACGATTAAGGGCCCTATTGAGGGCCCAAAGGTCCCGAAAAACCGACCGGAAGTCGTATTCAGGGGTCCGGCCCGCGGGGCCGTACACTTATGCCATCCAGAGGGCCTCGCGCGCTGATCAGGGGCCCTTAGTCGATAAGGGCCTATACGTCGGTCAGACCCTACCAATTACGCACAATTAGCTCCGTGTCGGCATGGGCCTGAGGGCCTATTCCCCAAGCAGGGACAAAGCAGGAGCCAGCGATGTACATTGGTCGAGGTCCCTGCGTCTGTCAAGGGCTCCACAGCACCTAACAGGAGGCCCTGTTTAGCAAGGGGCCCGAGTCAGCCAGAAGCAGTGTTCGAGAAGACCTGAAGAGCCCGGAGCGCCCACCAGAACCAACGATCAGAAGCCCGCTTGGAGGGCTTAAGGGCACGAAGTGCTGGTCGGGTTTTATTCAGGGTCCCCAGCCTGCAAGGACGGGCCTTTAAATAACAGTCAAAGGGCCCTTTGCGCAGGTCGGGGACCACTGAGTCGATATGGGCATGTCTAATGGTCATGAACCACTAGCACAACACAGTCAGCTCCGTGTTGAAATGATATTAAGAGCCCACTTTCCAATCAGCTACAAAGCCGGGGATAGCGATTTACACTGGTCGGTGCACCTGTATCTATCAGTAGCACCCAGTGCCTAATAGAGGGCCCTATACTCGCAATGGGTCCGAACCGACCATGGACAATGTTCGATGAGGCCCGAAGAGGGTCCCGGGCGGCCCAGCAGCACAGACTTTCAAAGGCCCGGCTGAAGGCGATAAGGGCCCACAAGATTGGCTGTAGATCACGTAAAGAATCGCGGCCCGTACGGTTTTGACCCAAAATATCAGTCAAAGGTTCTCTTGCACCGTTTGGGAACCTCCTCAGACAATGCGGATGTCTCGGTCGGCCAGAGACTACGAGCACCGAACGTTTGGATCCCTGTCAGTCTGAACCCTGGGGGGCGATTTCTCAAGCAGGAACAAGGTCGGG